AGCAAATTTGTACCTGGAAATTCTGAGTTCTAATATAAAATTCAGTTTATTTTATTTTTTTCACAGAAAACCCCAGGATTAGAAATCTGAGATATTTCCTTTTTATGTGCTTTCTGTTTTCACTGCACTGAAATTCATTTAGATCAGCCTGATGCCATGCAATGTACCAGAAATTTCTTTTTTGATAGTACTCTTGATAGGTTGTTCTCATACTGTAAGTGCTTTTGAGGCTAAACCTTATTTTTGTGTATTTGGGAGCAAGTTACTTTGAGGGATTCATCAATGAATTCATTAGTGAGAAAGTCAATTACCTTCTCTTTTTTAGTAAGCATACATTCTTGAGGACTACACATATGCTTTACAAAAATAGATATGTTTGAAGTCTGAACATATAGGAAGTTTTTCCAAGAATTTTTTTTTTCTTCAGAAAAGCATCTGAGTAAAATTTATTTTTCTATATTTTACTTTCACTCTGTACAACAAAACAAATTAGCTAGACACCAAAAAAAATGACCCAATACAATTGATGTAACCTTTCATATTTAACTCAATTAAATAAAACTATTGGTTTAAATTCAATAGGAATATTTTGAAATATCAATTTAAAAGAAAGATTCTTGAGCCTATAAAACAGAAATACAGTATGCTTGATTTCTGTGGTCCATCTCTGTTTAGCAGCTGTTGTGCATCTGGCCTTACTGTACTGTTCATGCTGGAATAAATACAACTCTCGAAAGCCATGGAAGAAAGACACAATCCCAAATCCCTTCCCCCCCTCAAGTGACAAACAGGTGCCCTTTTGAAATGGGATAACCAAGGAATACTGCCACTTTTTTCTAGTTCTTAACAGCTGTAGGAGTTGAATAAGCCCCAAAAATGAACTGCTGTGAAAGTACATTTATCATGGTATCAGGTGATGGAACTCATTGATTTCATTTCTTATGCAGTATGAATTTTGTCATAACATTTCCCTTACCCATTTTGTATTTTGTTGTGTTAGGAGATTTAATGCATTTCACCATTGTTTTGAGGATTATATTTCAGTTGCCAACTCTTGCCGCATAGATTTAAGATGTTAATCCAGAATTTGCTTCACATACTGACTTTTTCCTCACTACTTACTCTCTGTTAACGCTGCAGGTCTTAAAATATCGTCCCCTCAACAGGTTGACTTTTTAACCCCTTAAGCCCTGAGGGTCTTAGGAGAAAATTCCGCTTGAAATTACATATGTGAATTAAAGCAAGTACAGCTCCCAAACTATAAATTGGAAATATAGTTGTATTGGTATAACAGAAAGGCATTGAAGAATATTTTTCAGGCAGAGCCACTCTTTTAAATGTCACCATGTCTGATTTATAGGTGATTAAACAAAGAAATAATGAACATTTAGCCTCTGTAAGGATTTTTCTTTGATGAACCCAGAATGCTCAGCACACACACGAAGCAAATCTTGAAGGTTTCTTGAAAGTAATGAGTTGTGGATGAAGGTAACCGCTGCAGGCTGCACTGGACTAGAACTGGAGAAGTAGATTGGAGCTGGAGAACCAGAGCGAGTACTTGGAGATGCAGGGCTGTTGTTGAACCGAAGGAGCAGCTAGAGGGAGTTCTTTGGAGGTGATGCTGCAGAAGTAACCAGGAAAGCAGCCTGAAGAGAGTCCATAGAACGTATGGCTGCGATGGTTTGAGATGAGCACAGAGTGAGCATCAGCTGCAGTAATCCTCAGGGAAACAGGGAGAGTTCCTGGAGAGACAGAGGCTGCAGTAATCCGCAGGACCACAGAGAGTATTCTAGAAGATGCTGAGCTGCTGTAAATCCCCAGGTGCAGACGGGAGAGTTCACAGGGCAGAAGGCAAAAGATCCAGCAGCACAGCAACGGAAGCACAGAACCTCACTGACGAGGTGTTGGGTTAGTAGTGACTTAATACGAACCGGTGGGGAAGAGCTAACTGAGGGAGGTTTTTGTAGAGATGCTGGCAGGTGGAGTGAGTATTGACTAATTGGTAATTAACAGGTGTGACTAATTGCTGAGGGAGTGGAGGCTGAGCTGTGTAAGAGGAGGAGGTGCTGGAAAATAACAGGAGGTGATGGCCAGGCCGAAACTGAACCATGACAGCCTCACCAATTTTTTTTCCTAAATAAACACTGCAAAAAACCCTGAAACCCCATTTGAAACTGTGGGTGAACCCTCAGACTTTGTAGATCCACATTTTGACTATAAGTCAAGCATATTTGGACTGAATAAGTCGAAGCCTGTTTGTTCCACAAAAGTCTTAGTGAACAGTGTGCTAGGCGGAAATGTGATTCTGGCACAGTGCTGCCAAAAGTAACCAAATAGTGCCAAATGCATTTTTCCACTCATAAAAGGGAATGTGACCAGACGGATTTACATTATTGGAGACCCTATGCATAAGGCAAAGCCTTTTCTCATAGGATTTAGCCATTTTTTTTATTGAAATTTAGCATTGAACACACAATAATATGACCTAACTGAATAAAAAATAAGACGAATTGTACAATTTTTCTTACCAAACAGGGATTTTTTATTGAAAACAAGAATTAGAAATCCAACAACTGTACAAATATAAAAATAAATTAGAATCAGAAGCTTCTTTCAAGAAAATGTGCAAAATATTTATTCATGTGAATTATTATCTAAAAAACATGTGCTAAAAATTTTTTAATTGTGAGGTGTGAACATTTGACCAAGTCTCAGCCGTGGCAGGGGACCTGGCCCGCTATATTTGTGATGGTCCCAGGAGATCCTCCGGACTATGAAAATAAATAAAAGTAATTTATCACAACAAAGTAGTTTCTTACACACAATAAAAAATTATTGGCAGAATGTGGGTATTATCAAAGTTGTACAACTTTCCCTGAATCAATCTTGCATACAATACACGGTGGGGGAGGAGTTTAACAAATACAGCTTGTGTTATTTTTCCTCCTGTTTTTTTTTTTTTTTTTTTAACATGAGCTCTTTTCAAAAACAGCAGAGACATGCTGTATAGACTCAATAAATAAAAGATATTCCTTGAAAACAGCACATAAAGCGCAAAGCGCTGCAGCTAGATAGATATTATTCTGCAGTGCAAACTTTCTCCTGCATCAGACAGTAGGGGAGGAGAAAGATATACCGCAGCTTTGGTGTTATTTTTTCTACTGTTTTCATGTGAGCTCTTTTTCAAAAACAGCAGATGAGCTGTATAGACAGAGATACTACAAATAAAAAAAATCTCATGCAACTTACTCATAAGGCGGGTCACGAAGCAGCAAGTCCGCATCTTCTTCCTTCTCACAATCCAGGCTGCTGCTGTGTGATGATTTCTCAATTTCAGCGTCACTGGTCTGCAAGATTTCCTCTAGGCTTCCAAATCGGTCATATTCCTCTTCTGTGCCATTATAGTTTATTGAAATAAAATGATAGAGAGAAAAGAGAGCCAAAACAGGATCCACAGAGCAGAGCAACCTCGAAGCTGCCGTGTGTAAAGTGAACTGAGCACAATGCTGATATACTGGAATTTTAAATCTCATTTTATTTCTTTACACAGCTATAAAACAAAAAGTGTTTTTGCAAATATAATTTTGAAACATGTTTTAGAAAATTTAAAGCCCCATTTTTAAATGCATGTGGATGAAATACCATGGGACTGTGTTTTGGCCATTTCTATAAACAGATAAACATTAGCAGGTGTCAGTTCGGCCCGGTACCGGGCCCAACGGGCTTAAGAGATTAAGCTTCCTAGCACTAATGTAGAGATAGATGAAGTTGGTCAGTCCATAGACTGCTGGTTGGTGAGACGATGTGCTTGAGCTGTATGGAGAGATCCAGTAGACTGCGTGAGCTGATACTAGAGCTTCACTCAGGGTCCTGAAAGATGGAAGTCCAGCTTCAATATCACAGGTGTCCATGATGAGCAAGCATGAAGTGACAGTGGAGAGGAAAAAACTCCCCATTGGGAAGAAACCTCTGGCAGAACCAGGCTCAACATGGTGGTCTTCTGCCGGACCGGTTGAGATGAGACAGGAAATGCACTCTGATGAAGCTTAATTTTGGTCAACCAGCCTCTCCTGGGAAGCTTCACCCTATTAGATGTTTTCAATGTTTGTGGATGATGGGTCCCACTGTGGTTTGATGGAGTCCTGAAGCTTTAGGAATTGTTTTGTAAGCCTTTCCAGGCTGATCGATCTCAGTAATATTGTTTTTAACTTTTAGCTAATTTTCCATGGCCCTCAACATGACTTGTGACTTTTAAGGATCTTTAGGACTTTGTCAGGCAGATTGAGAACATTGTTGTAGTAAACCGGCCTGAAGAAAACAAAGTCAGGTGTATTAACGAGGCCTGTAGCCTCTGTTTCACACAGGGCTATGTGGAATAGAAACAAAGTGCTAACAGTTTCTAAAAGATAAATAGTAAAATAATATAATTAATAAAAATCAATTAAAAGAAAACATTAAAGAAAAATAAAAACAATTAAGACCTAGATAAAAACAACAAGTAAATACCTGAATCTAAGATGCATAGCTCTACATTATGTTTTCAATTGATTTAGATTACATATTGATTATTAATTGTTGATTATTAATGGAAAAAATAATCAAAAGTGTAATTCATTTGCAAAACAATAATTAGACATAAAAAGAACACCACAGTTAGTTAATGCAAACTCTGCTCTCTGTCCAAGTAAAAAAAAGAATAAAAGCAGATACTGATTAGAAGATTACATATGACTGTAAAATAAACAAGCACCAAATCAAAAATTTTTACAGTTGTTGTACTTTGTATTCCAAATGCACTCCCAAAAGGTTCAATACATACAATGTTTTTGTTTTTTTAATCAAAACTATCTACTTTATTGTCTGCAATTTTGACAGTTTGTAGATATACTTGTTGTCATTGCCTGTCTTGTGCATGCCATTGTAAACAGAACAAAACAATAAAACACAGTATTTTTTTCAATGTATAAATCTACCCTGATGTGCTATAAATTTATTCATAGGCAACATTTTGGACAGTATGCTGCTAAAAGTATCCACTAAGGAGACGGCAGAGAATGGGAAGAAGACTTCAGGAAACACAGCTCCTGCACTGTCTTCCCAAAAATTCCTGTGGTGTCACTGTGACCACCACTGCCCTGAAGATTCAACCAACAATACATGCTGGTAAAGAAGCAACACAGAACCAGCATATGTGTATTTCTTTAATTTAGATGTTTTTTGCAACACTTAATGTTTCTTTATTTTTCTTTTTTGAAGGACGGATGGGTACTGCTTCACGATGGTTGAGGAAGACGGAGGAGTACCAGTCCTGACTGCAGGATGCCTGGGGCTTGTCGGGTCTGAGTTTCAGTGTAGGGTGAGTTTACACATCGCAGTTCAAATTATAGCTTTTTTTCCCCAAATTCTTAGTCTTCTGTGACTGATCTTGCTGAAAATTTAGATGGTAAGATTTGTACTGTCTGTCCTATGAAATAAAAGGAATATTTTCAGTTGAAAGGTTTTATTATCATGTTTATTTAGATAAAGTTTTGCTGGATGCAAAATGTTAACCATGCATTTAAAACTAAATATTTGCTGCCTGTAAGTATTTTAGATTACCCAAATGTTTTTTCTTGACTAAATAATAGAATAATTTGTTTTATTTTAGAAAATGTTTTGATCAATTTATTCATATTCAGAGATTTGTATATGTTTTCTAGTCCTCCTACAGAATAACCTTTTTAATTAGACATATTCTCAGGTAATGTGTGTATTAAAGGGGTCATGGAAGCAAAACCGAGTTTACATTGTTATAGATGAATAACGATAGTTAAATGGGTGAAATGGACAGACAGAGAAGTTCAAACCCCATCGAAACCTCCTTTCTATGCAAGTCTCACAATTCCAAACTTACACCATAAAACAGGCAATCCAAACAAACCCCCCAGTTGACATAAACTTGGGGATGTTGCCTTATTTGGTTCTGGCCTGTACTTTTGTTGTTATGTTTCCGTGAGTGTGTGCTTGTTGCTATGATGCGTCTCTGCTCAGCAGCTTCACTCATTGTAAACCAACCAATCAGTGCACGGCTCATCTAAATATTCATGAGCATCCCACAAAAGGAAGAAAACCTGTCATTTCTTTCTGGGAGTTTTAACCAGGCTTGCATTATAAGAACACCAAATATGCCATTTTCAGCCCAACCAATGTTACACACCCTATTCAGAGACCCTAAGAACCAGCACCAAATACCCTATATAATAATTCCATGACCCCTTTAAACCCAAAATAGTATGGAAGGTTGAAAATTCTTAAAGCTCTCAAATTTAAATGTTAGGTAGCTTTAGTAAATCTTTTGCACACAAAAAAAAAAATTAATTTAAAGGGTGTTTACGCATCGTAACAGTGATGTCCATATCTTTGAACGGTTCTGTATGTGCTATATGCTAATAACAGGCTTATGTTTTTTTAATGACTTTATTGTCTTTAGGACACAGTTTTGTCCCATGAGAGAAAAACGCTGGAGTGCTGCACAGATGAAGATTTCTGCAACAAAAAGCTGCATCCTACACTGCCACCACTCAAACCACCTTGTAAGTTCAATTTTTCTAGCATACAGTATAGCAAGTGACATGAATATGATAAAACAATGCAACAATATACATATGCATCCAAAAAACAAATGAATGTCAGGAAAAAGTTCAACATCTTCTTCCACAGAAATGCAAGTATTGGTTGTTTCTAGTCCTCCTACAGAGGGGGTTTCCACCTGTCTCTTGAAAAAGGCAACTTTTCCACCTAATTTCTGGAGATGAACCTTTGGTGAAAGATCACTTGGGAGTCAATGAGTTAATATCTATAAGCTCATCAGAGTATCTAGAGAAAACTAAGGTATCATTATTTGAGAAAGGATTACTAGGAAAACCAGAGGCCTCAGCCAATGCTGAAGTAGTCAGGAATCTGAAACCTTATCATCTGGGATAAGGAGGAGAATTCATCAACAAGGATAAGGGGTTGAGTCAAATGAAATAACAATAAGTGGAATTTGATTTAAAGCTGAGTTACCTAAGTTGATTGTGACTAATAGAGACAAATTGGGCAGCACAGAAAAGAGCAATACAATTACGCAATGTTTCTTGATATTAATATTGAAAATTATTAATCTTTTCCTGTCTAGTGTATTTTGATTGGAAGATCCACCACATGGCAATGTTGATTTCAATAACTGTGTGCATCATTGTACTGGCTGCCATTATTATCTTCTGCTACTTCAGGTAATCAAACAGTAATGATAACTCACAGTTTTCTTTAATTTGCAAGCAGTTCCTATATCTTGATAGTGTTTTTTAATTGCTGAATGAAATTGCCTTGCAGGTACAAGCGGCAAGAGTCTCGTCCTCGATACAGCATTGGTTTGGAACAAGATGAAACATATATTCCTCCAGGAGAGTCTCTGAAGGACCTGATAGAGCAGTCACAGACCTCTGGCTCAGGCTCAGGTCTCCCTCTGTTGGTGAGATGCCCACAAAACACTTTCTGCTGTACCCTGTCTGCCATCATTATTGATTTTCTTCCAACATCATTTGATTTCTTGCTTCCAATGAAATTCAAAAAATGTATAAAAGCATGTAATGTGATTTTTTTTTACCCTGTAGAGAGCATGTGAGAAAGGCTATATGGTGAAATATTTGTGCATAGATTTAGGCTGTAAGATTTTTTTATGAAGGCCTTAGTGACATTATGAAAAACGCACACACGATGGAAATTATTTATCTATGCTCTGCTTTTGCTCATCCCCAGGTCCAGAGAACTATAGCCAAGCAGATTCAGATGGTGAAGCAAATTGGCAAGGGAAGATACGGCGAGGTGTGGATGGGCAGGTGGAGAGGAGAAAAGGTGGCTGTTAAAGTTTTCTTTACCACTGAGGAGGCTAGTTGGTTCAGAGAGACTGAAATTTATCAGACTGTCCTGATGAGACATGAGAACATACTAGGTAAGTGTTGCTCTTTTACCTGTTGGTAGTATTCATTTAATTTAGACCTTTAGATTATGATTTATGATTCTTTCTTTGACATCACTCTATTTTACAATTATTACAAAAGTTTGGGTTTTTTTCCCCCTACATTGTTCAAATGTAACAAGTTAAATATAGTGCCAACTTTGCAGACATTTTAAAGAGATAGTTTTACTTTATTTATTGAGAAATTTATATTAATATTATGGTACCTTTAACATAAATCGTTTAGCCTTATTCGAATCAATGTCGTACCCCATGTTACAGTAGTTAGACATCTCATATATTTTGATGTAAATTAGTACTAAAACTTTACAGCAGAGGCTGCATATATAGCCAGAAGGTGACACTTTTGTTATTAGGAGCCACATGGTTTATTGTAATAATATAGCTATAAAGAATGATTACTTTTTAGAAAATTAATAAATAAAAATTTGCTTCTCTGTATAAAGATTTTTTTTTTGCAATTAAATTAGTTAAATATTACATAAGATTTTTAAGCACTCCACTTTTAGATTTATTTCAAAAAGAGAATGCATACTAAAGATGAGAACAGGGGTCCATAAGAAATTTTCCAGTATTTAGCCATACAGTCTAATTTTTGTCTGAATCTCATAACCTTGTATTGCTGCTAGTATTTTCCCTGCTATGACTATACTTGAATCTGGATTTCTATTAACACCTTGAAAGGACTAAACTCCCGGGTCTATTATCACTGTTAGTTCTTTTAAATCATATTGCCATGCTTCACAATTTATGGATCTGACAAGTAATAAAATATAGAAAAAATGTCTGAGGATAATTAAAAATACTAACATATAAACAGGAGAGAACTAAAAAGTATTTTATTTAAGTAATCTGTACCATTTTGGTAGAGCCTAATTGAGTCTGTTCATTAACCTGAGCGCACAGTATGGAGAATTACCTATTTGAAATGTCCATCATCATTATTGATGCAATTAGCAACAGAGAAAGGTACTGAGTGTGTGAACAGCTGGATTCTTACAAATTTAATCAGTGATATGGTAATTCTAACTCTTTATTCCCCATCTGTCCCTCATTTTGTCTGTTTGCAGGTTTTATAGCTGCAGATATCAAAGGAACTGGCTCCTGGACCCAACTCTATCTCATCACTGACTACCATGAAAATGGGTCTTTGTATGACTACCTGAAATCAACCACCCTGGACAATAAAGCCATGCTGCGTCTGGCCTATTCATCTGTGTCAGGACTCTGTCACCTCCATACAGAAATCTTTGGCACTCAGGGTAAACCCGCCATAGCTCACAGGGACCTAAAGAGTAAGAACATACTGGTGAAAAGAAATGGAACCTGCTGCATTGCTGACTTGGGACTAGCGGTAAAGTTCATCAGGTGTGTATCAAAATAAACATGAACAATACAACAACTTAATTTGGATTTATATTCTGCTAAATCAGTCTTTGTTAAATTTTCTGATTCCTTAGCGACACCAATGAGGTGGATATCCCTCCCAACACACGAGTTGGTACAAAGCGTTACATGCCTCCAGAGGTTTTGGATGAGACTTTAAACAGGAGCCATTTTCAGTCATACATCATGGCCGACATGTACAGCTTTGGGCTCATCCTCTGGGAGATTGCTCGACGTTGTGTCTCAGGAGGTAAATATAGTGCAGTTCAAAGTATTGTATACCCCTTAGAACATTTCTTCCCTTTCTCCTATTAGAACCACAGTGGGAATTTACAGGACAGGCCTTCAATCTTTCCTCTGCCAGATTTCATTTGTCACTTACATTACACAGGGATCCTAGAAGAGTACCAGTTACCATACCATGAGTTGGTTCCCACAGACCCTTCATATGAAGACATGAGGGAGGTGGTCTGTATCAAGAAACTACGGCCATCCTTTCCAAATCGATGGAGCAGCGATGAGGTAATATATGGTACAACATGCAATATTATACATGCACAAGCAAACAAATTACCTCCCTAACTCTAACCTATATCTTTGCAGTGTTTGAGACAGATGGGAAAGCTAATGACAGAATGCTGGGCCCACAACCCGGCCTGCCGCCTCACAGCCCTGAGGGTCAAAAAGACACTTGCCAAAATGTCAGAATCACAGGATATCAAGCTGTGAGATGCCATTGCCAGCTGCGCATAGAGCGGACTCTGACAACCACACTGGCTTTCGTCCAGTTCATTGCAAAGCCTGGACAAAAGGAGGAAGAGCAGCTCAGGAGATTACTCAATCATAAATATGCCAGGAAATCTGCAGCTAAATTCTAAAAAAAATAAAACTACTGCGCTATAAGCAGCTGAGTTTGGGTTATCAAATCAGATTCAGATTAGTGTTAGAATCTAAAACCAAGTGTCATGTAAATGTCTTGGAAAGAAAGACAGAGTTTTACTAGAGAATGAAACTGCAGAGATACTTCAACAGTCTATAGACACAATATCTGTGCTTTCTGTGAAAGCTACCCTACCTGTAGATGAAGATCTGAATGATTGAACTGAAGGTGTGCGCTTCAGTGCAATATGTCACTGCAGGAGAACACATCCTTTCTAAACACATACCACCCTACTACTGGTTTATATTATTATTATTATTATTATTATTATTATGAAATAAACACATTTTTGTCACTTATGAATTGACTGCTTTTGGTTTCAAAACCTGACACCAGGTGACACAAGTAGTATGAGGCTTTACTGTAAAATTTTGCTCATGGTGATACAGTTTCTAGACACTGAAAATTTGAAATTCGTATATAAGTTAAAATAGGCTAATTGAGGTTGTAAAATTGTATTTTTTTCATGTAAAACACAAATAAAAGACTTGTCTGTTGGAAAAGCTATTGCCTCTAAATTGACATGACTGTTGCTTTGAAGGCTGTTGTGCTTTTGTGTTTTACATTTTTTCAAACCTTCCAAAATGACCTTGAAAGACAAAAGGAGTGAAAACTAAACATAGGTCCAATTCCGATTTTCACTCTCATCTGAGGTGGATTTCCTCACAGCTGCTAGTGTAGTACCTCCAACAGTTTGGCACCCTTCAAATCTATGTTTATAAATGATTATTTCAAAAATGGGAACTAAAAGATGGCACAGTATTATACAATTTCTTTAAAGCTGGCACACGGGGGAAACAGAAAGTAACTCAAAAAATGCAGCACAGCTTAAATATAACACAAAAGGGAAAAGAAACCAATGACCAACAAAACAGAATGACATAAATTACTGAAAACTAAAACAGAAACTCAAAAAGAAGTAAAGGGGAGAACCATAACACTTTACTTTATGATAGTGACTGTGTAGCACTTAATTCAATTGTCCTTTTCTTTCAGCATTGCTTTACAGCAAGAGATATTTGATCCCATTTGAAATTTATAATAAAAAACTTGGTTTATAAAGTCAGTATAATGCCCTACAAATGGGTAACCTCAAACATTCATAGCTTTATCAGTTATTTCTGAAGATACAGCTCTACAAAACTATGCTTTTTAATGAAATTGCATGGTACTCTGACAAAAGAAAGGCATTTTCTGAATAGATTGCTAATGATTTATTTAGATTGTTATATTTTTAAGGGTAATTTCAGCAAATTTTGTGCAGTCAAAATGGACAAAAAGGTGTGTTCTTTTGCTTCAGGAATGTAGCAGTTTGTTTTAATTGTCCTAAAAATGGAAAAGCAAATAGCATTGAGGCCCTGCAGCTGAACATTCTCAACTCTACTGGGATAGCTATTAGGGGTGTAAATAATAATCATTTTGTATCGATGCATCGATCCAACAGCCGACGATCCGATGCATCAATACGTCCGCAAGAGAATCGATTCTTTTTTTTTTTTTTTTTCCTCCAGTCTATTTTTATCCATTTGCTCCTGGGCGTAATTGTCCCTCCCGTGCTGCGGTGGCGCTAAACCTATTTTGCCCTCCTTCCTCGCTTCCTGGTGATCCTCCTGCAGCAGTGTGTTGCAGTAAGCTTGACACAGACATTTTTGATTTATGCTCAATATTGAAGCGTGGTCTGTGCTACACGCTGTGGGTCTAGATACGGCCGAGGCGGCGAGGAAGTGGGGGCGAGTTTAGTCCGACGACGGAGGGACATGAGGGCCAAAAAGATCCAGGTGGAAAAAGGGTCCCAGCGTTCTCACGCACCTCGCTCTTCTAGCGGGTCAAACTTCACGAGTTGTTTTCCGCAATTTTGGTCATAAAAACAAAACAAGCCGGCCTCCTGTCTGCGGCACTGTTTGCGGTCACCTACAATTTGGGAGAGGAGCAGCGGAGCTTCTGTCAAGGGGGCGGGGACGTCTTGAGCCAAGGTATTGCATTGCACTCATTGACTGATTTTGTGCAGTATATTTGCAGTATTTTTTGATGCAACTTTTCTACTTCTGTTATTTGGTGTTGTTTCTAAAAAAAAAAAAAGCATAACGATTTTACAGCTTTCATTGATTTATTTCAAACCTGAAACTTTGTTTAGCCTGTAAGATGTAAAAAAAATAAATAAATAAATAATCGATTAATCGAATCGTGGTGTACTCTTGAGTATCGAAAATAATCGAATCGTTGGGTCAAGAAATCGATACTGAATCGAATCGCCATGATGGATGTGATTTACACCCCTAATAGCTATGATACAGTGACAGGTACTAATTGGAATCAATTAAGACTTAATAATGATGTAGCGATACATTTCTCCTCACCAAATTATTTTAAAACATCTCAATGATAATATGACGGAATGAAGTATAACATTTTGACTGAAAATTAATGAAAAGAAACAATTCAACCAGGTCATAAACTCAGATTGAGTCAAGGTTTTCTATCTAAGCAAAAGCAGCTGACTGCACTGACTCATTTACTCGACTGCAATCCCTCACACCAAGCATGCATGTAGCGACAGCAAAGAGGAGAACTCCCTTTTAACAGGAAGAAACCTCCATCAAAACCAGGCTCAGTGTGAGTGGCAATCTGCCGAGGCTGACTGCGGTTCAAGGACACAGAAGCAGACATACAGAAGAGGAAAAGATACAAAAGTAACTGTCAACAAGCACCACAGGCGGCCCCGTCCAGTAAATACACAGCCTGGCAGATTAGCTCCAAGCCAATTTCCATGTCAGAGGATTAAGGGAGCACATACAGTTAGTCACATTCAGAGAAATAGGACTACACTGAAAAACTGGCCATAATCCAACATCTTTAAACAAAGGTGTTGATGGCAGCAGCCCAGTTGATATTTCTCTCCCGGATGGAGTCTCAGCCAAACAGGAACAGATCAGAAAAAGCTACTCTGATGAGAAAAAGCAGAGAGTATAAAGTTAGAGGTTGAACTAACAAATACTGAAGAATGTAAGATTGGAGATAGAATGGAGCAGAATGAGAAAAAACAGTTCCCTATACACTCTAGCAAAGTAAAGTATCTAGTTCTATAGTAAAAATTCTCTAGTAAAGAGAATTGGCACTAACACTGATACCTGTGGTACTCCACAGATAACCCTGGAGTAGGGCTTAAATTAACAATTATTTTGCAAATCGATTAATCTGTCGATTTTTTTTTTTTTTTTTTTTTTGCGATTACTCCATTAATAATCAAATAGCAAAAGTTTCCTTAAAGAACACTTTTTCATGACATTACAACAGGTGAAACTCAAACTTTTCCACTTTAGGAGTTCTGGATAGAGAATGTTGATGGATGAAAAAGTTTATTTATCTTAAATGCAAAAGGTTTACATATTTTTTTTTACTATTTCGGTGTAATAACTGTTTTAAGTGGGTTGCTCTGTCATCTAAAAGCATGTTTTAGAGTCTCTACGCTCCAGTTAATGATTAATCGGTTACTTAATTAGTAGAATAACATGAAGACAATATGAAGAAACTGAAATCTGTCATATAAATAAGATTTAAACTGGTCTAGTGCTGTTTCTTTAATTCCAACAAAATGTTCAATCCTTTGAAAAAGAAAATTATAATTAGCTGTATGAAATGCAGCACTGAGATCTAACAAGACAAGTAAAGATTCAAGTCCATTATCTGAGGCCATGATAAAATTGTCAGACTTTCAATAGGACCCAGGGTCCCTTGTTTGACTGATGGGCTTGGGTTCTTTGGGTGAACTGAACAGCTGGCAACATAATGTTGGTGAGAACCACAACACAGGTAGCAACCAGAGACCAGGCATAATTTTTCCTAATCTCCCAAATTAAAGATCCTTTAATTAGGGATCGTTCCCGGATTCTATTGTCTATTCTGATTTATTTAAATCATTGATTTAAATGATAATTCAGAGGGTCCGGAGTATCTCTGCAAGCTAGTTTATCCTTATGATGGTTATTTAGGAAATGTTGGTAAAGAGCTTTAAATGCAGTTTCATTCCATCCAGACTCAGCAGCAGACATATTACCCTGTTTAAGTTGCCATAACTTTTTAGCATATCTTCTTCATTAAAATTGGTTGAAAATGTTAGTCTGAAGAGGTCAGAGAAAACTTTATAGGAGGTCTTCCTCAATAATAACTTCAGCCCATTTTAAAGCGTGGTATTGTAAAAAATCAACAATATATGAGACCTTATCAGAGTCATCAGTGAATGATTGAGGGGAGTGGCCGAGGACTCAGGTGGATTGCAATAGAAATCCTCTGAACTTACCTAGTTTGCCAGAAAAAGACTCCAAGGTGGATGATGCATGTGTACAGTTTTACTCTGGCACAAGTGCGGCATAAAAGGTGGCACAAGTATGGTGCACAGTCATTTGCCAAAAGTGGACCACAACAAAACCAATACTGTGCCAAATTTCAGCCAACAGTAACTAAGCCAGAACTCACCCAAACATGAGCTAAATAGCTCTCAGACTTGAGACTGGTTTACAGTGCATGATCTTGTCTGTAGCCTGCATTCTTTAGAGACACAGAAAAAACCATGACAGAATGATATGTCAAATATGAAAATCTGGTCTAAATTTGTGGCTAAATGTCATTATGGTACCTCCAGAAATTGTCAGGGGAGAGGAAAGTCCAGGGGTGTCTGTTAAAACTGCTCCCCCCATGACCCGGTCCCAGATGAACCGGAGGATGACAAGTAGCACTACAAATAAAATGCCACAATGTTACAACTTAATATCTCACCTAGTCAGTGGTGTCACTGTAATTCTCAGAATTCCCCTCTGCCTCTGTCTTTTTGCAGTAATAATAGATCATACTGAGATCAACTGGGTCACATGTGAATTGGATTTTAATCACTTTATATTACTTTGCAGTGAGCTTATACAGTACTATATTATCCTGGCTATCCGGAATACTGACCTGGGAAATCCTGGCCACTTGATGGTTTTATGCTTGAATACATGGGTATTGAATACATGAGGTGACAAAACTTTTTAAAATATCTTTGAACATCTTCTACAGCCAAAGCACTTGGGATAACCTAAATAGGTCAAAATTTGGCCTCAGTGACTTTTCATACTCAAATGAAAGCTCACAGACATTCAATGTGTCAGTGCAATGCAACAGTCCAGTAAGTAGTCTTTAGCTTTAAATCCCATTTAATGTGAATAGAATGCAAAATATTAGACAATCTGTGAAGCATCAAGTTTGAAGCTATGTAAACCTATGCAGTTAATGTAAATATTTGTCTCACTTGTCTTTAGGAAGGTGTATACAACAAAATGCACACTGTTGTCATCTGTATTTCTGATGGGTCACAGACTTTGGTGTAACACAACATCAACAAGAAGGATCATAATCCTGATGAAGTGATTGCTTGGATTATATTCTGATGTGCTCAGTCTTTCTTAATAACATCTTAACTATTTTTTTCCCCACTCACCGTAGCATATTAAGCTAAGCCATTATCCTTATTGAATCTGACATTTCCATCTTTGGAAGATGTATTTCACCATCTCAGTGCTCTATTTGACTGTGTTTTCCACTTTTGACCACTTTAGTTGGATTACTCTGCAGAAACCGCCACTCCCTCTTACTGGGTTGGTGATTGCTAGGTGTGCAAAGTGAAAGACTACATTCACCATCTATAGTCAAGTACAAGACGCCAATACACAGAAACTTTACATTGATCAAGTCCACGAGCAACGCTGGTTCTGAAAAATATAAGTGCATTATATTTGGCCAGGTCTAAAAATTTAGTGTGTCATCGCAAATTTGCAAAAATATTTTTATGGTTGTGAGTAAAATTCTTGTGATTTAAAGACACGCTGTGTAACTTTGGCCACTAGGGGCACTAGACCTGTAACTGCCCGTATTTTGCTTCTACTAAACATCTGTCATGGTCTATTGTTTTCAGACCCACATACAGAACACACTGAGGAGACAGGTAGTTCAGATTTATGCTCGTTATCTAAAAAAAACCAACAATGATACGCAGAGTTTCTTCAGGGCACCTGGAAACATAGGGGGTGTGAGGCACACTGCAACAGAAAGCAAAAGTAATGGGAGTATGTGTATGATGAGAATGACAGCACCAAAAGGCTTACCGTGTGAGACATGAACAATCAACCCGGGAAAAGTGGGAAAAGTAGCTCCTAAGCGGGAGGAGGCTGGGCGTTAGAGGGTTAAGTAGGGCTCGCCGTTCAGTCAGCTGGGCGTTGCGCTGATTGAGCTCAGCCATGACAGCTTGAATCTCTGAGAGGCTACAGAGTGAACCAGAGGCTGATCGGCTCAGCAGAGATATGTGACTCGCCGAATGTGCTCTGAATTGGGATTCGGAGCCGAAATACCACAAATGGCTAACAGAAGAAAACAGAAACCTTCTCATCACAAAAAGTTACCTTACCAGTCTAACAATAAAGTTGAGAAAAGACAATCAGGCTGTAAAATAATGGAGCAAAAGAATTAGCTCCAAGACCATATAAGAGCCTGCAGCCATAAAGCAATAAGTTTTTTTTCAGGTCACATGACCTGGCCCGATGACGGTCCGTCATCTCCCAAATAACATAGTCTGTATTTTGATAGGGGAGCCCCGCTTGTAGCATTGATAGTGACTTGACAGTTGCAAGAAGAAGTGGACCCCTCGAGGCATTTTCCTATAAAGGTCTTGTGCTTTTCTGCTGCGACATTCACTGAACTTAAAATGGCAAACACTCATTGTGTTTGTCATTATCAGTTCATAACCAGGCCCACCATTGTCTTGGGGCCCCAGGCCGGCTCAGGGCCTAGTTGGCCCTAACAGGACTGCCCTGGAGACACCACAAGTATTGTCCTAGGATGTCGACCCACTCCAGAACTTCACACTAATTAGTATACATATGAGGCCCTTTGTGTTTTATTCTGTCGGTGATTTGATTAAATTCTAGTAGCAACCATTGAACGAGATATTGGGTACTCTCTGGACAGGTTACCAATCCATCACATGGCAAAACAGAGACATAAAGACAATCACCCATACCTACCCAAGAACTAAAAGTATATAAAATAAGCTTAAAATAATGTGTTTTGGCTGTGGGAGGGAACTGTTATACCTACAACAAACCTATGCATGTACAAGAAGAGCAAGTAAGCTCCATGCAGGCAGACCCCTGGACCTTCTTACTGCAAGGCAACAGTGGCACTTTAGGGCAGTCATATTTTGATAAGTCAGTTTTAAGTGCTATTACTAAAAGAATGTGCATTTGGTTTTTTCCTTCTCTTTGTTTTATTTCTCTCTGTTTTCATTTTAGGAATCATACCTCATTTAGGGTATACCTGCTGTGGCTGTGTGTAGAAAGCCCCCTTAATAAAGAGATTCACTTATTCAAATGCTTGATGCACAGTTTGTGGCTGCATCTTAATGATTCACTAAGACTTGCTCTTAATTTTGTTGAAAATGTAAGAGAGAAAACCAGCATGCCTCATTATAAACCATTCATGCTGCTGAGTACACAGCATGTTGAATAGTGACACCATAAGGACTTTTAAGCTTTTCAAGTCCTTCCCATTCTGGCCAGATTTATCCAGCTATTGAAATAGTTTATAGTTTAGGATTTGCAAATACAATACAAGCCTTCATTGCAAACTCCATGAGGCAGAGGAAAATCACATTTGAGGCTGATATCAAGCTAATTGGGCAAATCTCCATCAAATGTAAAATATACAGAATATTGCACTCCCAGAAGGGACAACAGTTTATGTTTGCAGAGGGCTACAAGTACCTTGAAATAGGACAGACAAATGGCAACTGAAAACGGCAACAGTCAAATACCTGCAACGAGTAAGGCAATTCCTGAGAAGTCAGCTCAATGGCAAGAACAAGGTCCTTGCAATTAACAGCTGTCTTGCTTGTGATCAAATACCCTACTAGGGTAACAGGTTGGCCAAAAGAGTAAATCAAGGCCACTGATATTAAAATGAAAATGCTTTACATCATGCATGGTTTATCAGCGCCAAATCCAGTATTCACATGCTACACAGTATATGCAAACAAAACAGGCAGAGGCCAGGTAAGCATCAAAGTCATCACTGAAGGTGAAACCACCAGACTCCAATAATATGTCAGGAAGATGGCCTCGAGAAATTAAGTGCTCAGTGAATGTCTCAGACAAAGGAATCTGGGAGAGAAGGTAAGAAGAACCATCATCGGAGGAAAAAACCCCGCATGGGATATACTGTACTACCAACAGATGAGCAAATCCTACCAATGGTGAGAGAGGGCTGGGCTGAAAGACTGCACAGAAGCATCATGGCAGGACAGGATCAGGTATTGTGCACTAGAGCAAAACTCTCCCAGATCTACAATACCAGACAAGATCCCAAGTAGAGGGTAGGCAAAGAGGCCCCAGAAACAATCCAGCATTTTATTGCAGGGTTTAAGACACTTGCAGAAAAGAAATACATGGAACACAACCAAGTGGATGCTACAGTGTACAGAAAAATTTTTGCAAGATACATGGTGGAGACCCCCTGGTTATCGTGGAAGTTACCTCCCAAGGTGATGGAGAATACTAAGATCCAGTTGGATATCCAGATACATAAAGGCAAAATGTTAATATCCAAGCAACTGGAATCTGTGATCATTGGTAAGCAACAGAGGATAGCCATTGCAATTGTGATGCTGGGATACCAAATGATGAAAATAACAAAAAAAAAACAAGAGAACCTGGGGAAATACCAAGGTCTCAGACAACTGTAAAGAGCCTGGAAGGTGAAGGCAACTGTAGTGCCCATGGTTAGAGGCACAATAACCCCCACACTGGAGAAGAGACTCCGATAGATACCTGGTGAAAAATCAGCCAAGAGCGCAATCCTAGAAACAGCAACTGTAATATACTACAAAGAACACTCAAGGCCTCAAGCCTCTGGTAAAGAGACCAAGCTTCAGATGAAGAATCACCAGGTAACGGTTAGGTTTATGGCATATAAAGGGTTGAAAATGACTCAAAATCAATGGAGGTCAATACATTTCTTTAGCAATCCTTTATAAATAAACCAGACAATGCACAACACAGTCTTAGCATTGCTTATAAATATAATTTATTAATTGTCTTAAAAATTCTTTATTACACTTTGTACAGAAAACCATTACAGGACATAGAGGCAAGCAGTCAGCAAGGATAAGCAATACTCTTGAAGCGTGCCAGTTAGCTAATATGGACGAATACTGATCAAAATTCGACACTGATCAAAATCAAATCACTCATGATAATAAAATATAATGCTAAATTACAAGGACCATTCTAGTAAAAGACTTCTATCAGGTTGAACAATGTTTGCATAGTAGACACTGCTTTTACAAAACCAGAAAAAGACAAAAGAACCCTTAAAACATAAAAACTAGTATATAACTGTACTGTTCTTTTAAAATTCAGAAATGTGCCAAATATAGCCAACAGTTCACAGCTGTACAATTTGTATAGATAAAAAATATTTGTACATATTTTAATATCTTTACACTACTTTCTTTGTTTCACAATATGAAGGATCATTTAAAAGAGATCTGAATGCACCCTTCTTAAAAGAAAAAGAAAAAAAAAAACTTTTTTACAGCCCAAACATGAATGCTCATTCTGCTGGTAAACTGTAAACTCTGGAACACAAGCATATGTAATTACCTATTTTTCTATAAATACAAAAAAAGGTTTTCTCAAATGCATTACCCAGTCAAAAATAGATCTTATAACAATGACTTTACTATTTCACTTTACATGTTTAAAGATTGAGTTGAGTAGAGGATGTTATATATTTGCTCTGAAATAAAAGAACAACCAAACAAACAAAAAAAAAATAATAATAAAGTAAAACCAAGCAGTTGATGAGCTAGGCTTTATCCTCATTAAAGTCTCTCAACCCTTTCCCTTGATTTTCTGATACCTGACATGAGCTCCATAGGATTATTTGTGATATGTACAATACCTCATGAAAGTTTTTATACACCTTGAGGTTTTTCACAATGTGTTGCATAACAACCACACTCTCCGATTTCTTTTGTTGGATTGTTGTGATTGACAATCTAAAACAATGCATAAATTGGAAGTGGGAGCATAATGAAACATGGTTTTCAAAATGTTTTCAAATAAAAATCTATAATGCATAGTCTCCAAAAACCACTTTCTCCTTTACCCCCCAAAACTATGGGCTATAATTGCAATTAGTAGTCAACTAATCAGTAAAAAAAAAAAATCAGTTTGTAATGAATTCTATAAATAAATCCAATGGTTGATTTAGAGAACAAACACCATCTGACCAAGGAACACAACTGAGTGGTGAGGGACATAGCTGTAGTGAGGCTTCAGCTCTGAGATTTTGTTGACAAGACAACAAGTTATGTTTCTCTTAAGCAGGGACATAAGAAAAAAAGGTAAGAAATGATTGGAAATCGATGAAGCAGATTCTTTACCATCCAGCAGGAGAGTTATTCTAAACATATAGATCGACCACCAACAGAATGATATGTATCAAATGGTATTAATTTGTTATAATGGTGAAATCATGGTCCAGGCTTAAATTTCATGGAACAACTGTTGCAAAACTCTTCAGCCAATCTGACTGAGTTTGAGAAACTTTGCTAAGAAGAATCAGCCAAGAATTCTGCCTCAAGAAATCTCTTGATGTGCAAAGCTGGTTTAGGCTAATTTCATTCTAATTTCAACTATTATTCCAGTCCAAGGTGGTTCTAGAGGATTGAGTCCGGGGACCAGGAGCACAAATACATATGCATAATACACTTTTTAGATTTATCAAAAATAATTCTGAAAATCACATCTCAGTTGCATCCACCTCCCAACTTAACATGTTAAACTTTGTGGTTGTTACCTGACGAAGTGCGAATAGTTCAAGGGTTACAAATCCTTTACAAGGCACTGTCTATTTCTGAGCACTTATAATTATTCAGAGGCATTTTAATCATTTTACAACTAGCTTTAAATCTGTGCAGGAGGTCTAGATTTTAGATTTCCTTCTTGTTAAATTAAATGAAAAAATGAAAAAAGATAATCAATGTTTGAAGGTATCCTACAAGATTTCCAGGTAAATATTTAACCTTTTGATAGATCTTAAATCTGTCATTTATGTCAATGCTGTTTCTCCTAAGTTAAACCACATTTTTAAATAGTCATACTTCATGTTAAAAAGAATGTATTAGTTTTGGGGATTTTAATAATTCAAACAAAACATTCATGCTGGATTGATTGCAAGATGCCTACAGGTAGCAGGGAAATGCTAAATGATGCTCACAGTTAAAAATAAGATACAATAAAACTGAGACAAAAATGTCATTCAACTATTAATATTTAAACAAACAAATATTATGACATGTATGTCACTACCATGAACAACACAACCATGTATTTACACCGTGAACTTGATTTTAATTTTTTAACACTGTAATTCTTCCAAGGCCACTAGATGGTGCTCATGACCAACAAAGTCAAAGTCAAATAGTTTTACTGATATCCTGATATATGTAAGATGGGAAGGAAAAAAAAACTGTCACATAATATTGGGTTTCAGTTTAAACTGGATTTCAAAAATACTCTTGTCACTTGTTTCTCCAGAAAAAAAAAAAAAGCCTGAACAGTCTGGCAGAAAGTTTTCAATATATAATGTTTTAGCTTAAAGTAAAAAAAATAATTGACATCACTGATGCACATAGCATAAAAAGAACTTAATTTTATTGGCCCAAAAAATCTGTGCTAGATTGAAAATTAAACAGCAAAAAAACCAAAACAACAACAACAAAATAACTGGACATTGCAGGAGCAGTGCTAATCTTTCCCTCTTTTATCAGATTCTCGCTGCTAAGGATAGCGATTTTTTTACCCACACCTAACTAAAGGACAATCTTTGGATTGGGTTATCTAATATTTAATTCGCCACTTTTGCTTTTCCGACCAAGATAATTTAAAAATCACTGAATCTTAAAAAAAAAACACTTTATAGTCCCAATTCATCTAAAAAAACAGTAAAACAAAATTCTAAAATGATCCAAAAACTTAAAAAACTGTTGTCTCATGATTTGTTTGTCAGGACTGAAAATCTGCAGCAGGAAATAAGCCACGCATATCGACAGATTGATACACTGAGCCTCCCCTTCCAGACAGTATTTAAAAACAAGAAACTGTACTGACAAACACATAGTCAAGGCTAACAAGAAAATAATCTCTCATTCTTCATCTCTGCCTTCATTATCTGCTTATTATCCAGATGGTCACCTGCCTGCTTTTTCCATCTCTTCATGTTGATGTCCTCCCTCTGTTCTGTAATCAGTTTAGCTGCTCTTTGTGTTTGCTCTTATCTTTGTAAAGAGTCTATCTGTGTTTTTGTTTATCTTTAATCTTCCATTCCTACTCTTGTGTAATTGGTTTACCTTTGCTTCCTTTATAATTATCTTCCCTTTCTATAGATAATTTCAAGGTGAATATCTCTGTTCCACATCGTTACTTTCTCTGTGACTGTTGTCATAACAGCAAGAAGATATTGCTGTGGTTCAAGAATTTTATTTTTTCCTTAATTCCCTTTTTATCACTCCTGGATTCACACATAGAAACTCAGCACTGGTTTGAGCACCAATTTCTTTTACCATGTACACTTGATTACCATGGTATTCACACAGTACTCAATCACCATACTGACAGCTTTCCTTTGACTTTGTCTAATTGGTTAATCTGCTGTACCAACCATAGACGTTCCACAAGTGATTATCTCTGGAGTTTTGCTTGTCTTCATACAAAAATGTAACTCCGTCAGTGTTCTGATGTCAAGGAGGCAAAGTTGTTATCGTGACGGCCCATTTCTTCCAGCACAGCAGCCAGTTCGTTTAGATCTCCATCAGGGAAATGTTGGGCTTCCCAGAGATCCAGAATCACACCTGTTGGACTGGACTTGGTGGCAAAATAGTTCAGATATCTGAAAAAATAAGAATGCAACAAAGAATAAAGAAAGGTTTAAAAATATAAAACAATATTTTTTTCTACATTTTTGTAACATTACTGACAAAACATGTGCATAATATATACATATACATACATATATATATATATATATATATATTACCATTTCAAAGTAGATTGCAAGGTACTCCCCTGAAAATAGTTTTTAGAATTCAAAATGACTAAATAAAACAATAATTTGGAATTTAAGAACTATAAAACATGTTGGTGATCCTAATAATGTAAAATGTAACAAAATGTGTATTATTTATTGTCAACCATTCAGAAACAAAAGTCTTTTAGTCAACATAAAAACAATCTCTTTTCAACTGTAGGTGGGCTGTAAGGGCACAAAGCACTAAGAAACATTATTTTTCTTTGCAGTATGTACTTTTTTTTATTCCCCCAAGTCATATGGGATGAATTGCAAGGTTTTCCACAAGGATAAACATAATTAGATTTCTGATCTTTAGAAATAGCTGGAATAAGAAAAAATATTGTGCACATATTTCCCTTTTTAGGCAGCGCAAAATCTCTGATCAGATATTAAGAACGGAACTGAAGGTATGATTCCAACATAGAAGACTTTAACATTTTCTCCTCTTTAAAAAACTAGAATAATTTTACTGCATATAGCAGACATCCTTGAAATCATCTTACATTTAAAAAAATAACCAGTATAAATAAAGAAAAAAATATTACAATGCAGCAAGTAACATAATGCAGGGTGATAAACTATTTAAAATAAATGAGATACATATATGTGATTTTTATTCATATGTCTATTGTAAATGTAACAAAATTTCAAAATGAAATAGAAAAGTCTGTTTATAGCCAGGTCCTTTGTAAGTTTCAGAAGAGGATTCTGACACAATTGCTCACAAAGGTCTTGGTGCTGCTCTGAAGTATAAAAACATCAGATTTCAGTTTTGTGGGGATGAAAAGGAGACTGCACTGTAAATCTTCCAATTGTACTGTTGTCACACAGGTGCTGTTTCAATAAAAACAAAAGGGAAAAGAAACTGCTGTTATGTGAACTGAGAGACTCAGAGAAACCCATAAGGAGGGTTTCTTTCAGATCTGTCTACGAACATAAAAAGTGCTTGAGTTTGTATTGAAGAGCTTTCTAGAGATGTAAATAGTCACACAGGGTATTTATGCCAGGAGAAAGCTGCAACTGCACAACACATCTCGTACCTTGACGGATGCTTTAACAGATCAAAGGGGGGGAAAATGTCTCTGAACCTTCAGAAAATAATGTTTTTGAAGAAAACATAAAAGTATATAAAAATGTTAATAAAAACTCCTGATGCCCACATTCACCAGCTGCACCATGAACTAATGGGCTGTAGGGACAATTATTTGCATTTGAGCCTAATTATCCTCTCAATGTCTGGCATATGTATAGGGTTAACTGTTTATACAAATCTGGGAATATCACCGTAAGTGAAATGGGAAATTGAGATCTAATTATAATACTTCTGCCAGAGTTTTTTATTCGCTCATTTTTTTACATAATCAGCACAGTGCTATTTTGTTCACTTTATAGTTAGATACTGGATGGAAAATTTATTTACAGAATAGAATCCATTTGATCCACAGTCTTTGGCAACCTTTCAATTAGGATGACTTAATATAGATATACCCTAATGTTTTATTACAGATGCATCTACATACTAAATAAACAATCTTTTATTTGAGTGCCACTACTCAGATGGTTGGATATATCCCATTGTCAATGACTTT